CACTCCATTTCTGAAATGTTGTTCACGTTGCGGGGAAAAAGAAAATATGTTGACGCCCCCTAACTGAGGGACATCATTTTAGCAATAATGTCCCAAGTTTTCTGAGAACACCCACTTTTGAGAAAACAACCAAATCTGGCCAAAAAAATACCAGATTGGCTGTGAAACAAGTCGGAAAAAAGGAGACGATTTTAAGATTGTTTTATTAACCCATTTGTCCCTGAGTCGCCCGTCACGTAAACGCCAGTGTGGTTCCACGTCCATTCTACTGCTGCTTGTGACATCATAACCTGTTGAGAGCAAACCGTTTACATAAAAACCCATAAAACAGCCATAAATCGGCCCGTGGACCACACAGGAGAGACGTAACACACATTTTAAGTAAGGTAAGCTGTTTTTATTGAAATCCTTTCATTTTCTTAGGTTACAGAAACAATAGGTTTTTTTCCCACACAAATCCTTATTTTTTGAATGTTACGCAACAATGCCGATGCTCGCCGATGCTCGCCGATGCTCATATTTCGAGCTTGGGCTATGTGTGAGTAAATGCCTAGCGATAGAAACAACGAGGAAAGAAAAAGTGAGAAAGAGGGAAGAAGGAAAAGCGAAAGAAAAAAGTCGACACTGATGTGTCACTTCTATAAAGATCGGGCTACTTGTAATGAGAATTGCGCTGTTTTAAGTCACTACTGTGCTGAAGTCATCAATTACACAAAAAGGTCCTGTACAGTGAAGAGTTAAGAATCATAGAAGATATCAAGCTCTAAAGTATTTCAAACCAAACTAAAAGGGGAAACTTTTTTCTTCTGTGCATGCCTGAACTTCGGACAGTTTTTAGCTTATATCTTGCATCTAAAACAGAAGGTCGCGAAGTACACGACAGGCAAAGGGCTTTTTGGAAATTAAACCAACGGTTTTCATCAAAATTCTTAGAGGCGGAATTAAATGTCTTAAATAGGTTAGTGTTTGCATCACACATGTTTTGAAATGTGAAATTTTTCATAATTCTTTGCCAGATATTTGGAACTAGCTATTCTTTTGTGCGGAACAACTAGAATCCATGTATTGTAATTAATTTTTTAACGCCTTTTCTTAACATTTTTTTATCATATTGGGACATTGGGACAAAGGATCAAAGTTAGGTGTCCTGCGTTTGGATGGTGATGGTAAGGCTGTGCAAGCAGGGAAACTGGAATCTAGAATTCTTATTTTCAAAATGGCTGCTTCGCCGATTCTTCGCCTGCTTCCGTGTTGAAAGATAAAGATTGCTTCCGTGTTGAACCGACGAAATTTAACCGCGGTTAGAAGCCAGAGTTTAGTTTCGTCTGTGGCGCAGGCTGTGTAGAACCATGAGAGAGCAAATAACGTTTAAAAAATGGACTGACAAGCAGCTTTTGAAGAAAAAAAAACCAACCTCATCATCTCTAGCCTGCGAAGCGCAGACGCATTTCCGGTCGACGACCGGAAATGCGTCTGCGCTTCGCAGGCTACATCATCTCTGGAATGCGCGTTCTGTAATAACCTTAATTCGTCCACCATGGAAAACAGTACAGAGGTCTTGAAAGCTGTGATTTCTGGAAATGCTGCGCAACTAAATGAAATTCTTCAGAGTTTGAATAGTACGGAAAGAGTTTCTGTTTTAGCTGCCCAAGACTACACTGACGAGGCCTTAAAAAGGGAAAAAATTATTGGAATTCCTTGTAAAACCACACCGTTGATAGTTGCTGTTCAAAGTGGAAATCTCGATTGTGTCAAACTACTACTGAATTACAAAGCAGACATTGAAGCGCAGGGAGAGGGCTTTAGATATCCTGAGTTTGTTAGGCTTGGGGACGGCTATCTGGAATCTGACCTAGTGTGCATGGGCACTGGTCCGCCTTTGCTTTTCGCTGCCGCTAACGGACATCTTGATATTTTAAGTTATTTATTTGAACAAGGAGCTAACGTTAATGCATCCTCCTCTTCAGACGATATGTGGAATACTCCGCTTATTGTTGCCTTGAAAACCGGATACATTGATGCATTTACCTTTCTTATTGATAAAGGTGCGGATGTAAATTTACCAGACTATCAAGGTTATACAGCTCTACACTATGCTGTTAAAAGCGAGAACTTTGATGCCTTAAGTTGTTTAGTTCATAATGGGGCTGATGTTAATCTCTTTACATCAATGTATAAACATACACCTTTGATGTTGGCCTGTCAATCTCATAACATGGATGCCATAAATTTTCTACTAAACAAAGGGGCTAATGTGAACCTTCAAGACAGAAATGGGCAATCAGCTTTGCACTTTGCTTCCTCAGACATTTGTTATTGGTTGATTCAAAATCTAGCTGATGTTAACATGTGTGACAATCATAATTGCACCCCACTGATGCTAGCTAGCAGGAACAGTGATTTCAAAAAGGTAGCCATGCTTATTGAGAATGGAGCAAAAGTGGATCTTCAAGATGTGGATGGTAATACTGCTCTACACCATGCTGTGAATAACCCAGTACTCCACTACACACGTGAAATTTGTCTTGCACTTTTGACTGCTAAGGCATCCAATCTGTGTAACAGTCAGGGATGGACACCTCTTCTTCTAGCCAGTAAAAACTGCATTGAATCAGTGGTACAGAAATTTTCAAAGCAGCCAGAAGTAACAAAAGAGCAAAAAGCTAATGCTCTAGAACTACTTGGAGCCTCTGTTTGTTTGAAGAGTGGTACCTTTGCTTATTATAAGGATATTCATTTAGCTAAAGGATTCAACTACTTCAAGCGCGGCATGAAAGAAAGGTTTGCTGATGCTTCCCATCCTTTGTTAAAACAGCAAGTGGAACCTGCTGAAGCTTATCAGAACAGAAGAGAGTGTCAAACTCTTGAGGAGCTTGTTGAGATTCAATTTGATGGGGTTGCTATCATCATGGAAAGCTTTGCTATTAGAGAAAGAATCATTGGAGCTAACAATGTAGAACTACTCAAACCAATTGAGCATATTGCTGAACGCTTTTGCAGAAGCGCCCCTGGTCATTTTTACAGACTAAGTATACCTCTGTACAGATATGCAACAAAAATTGCCCAAGGGCGTATTGAAGAATGTTTTGAATCTGCAGTGTCATGTTTATGGCATTTAACGGATGTATTGTACGAATGCAAACAATATTCTGATAGAGAGCTTTTGCTAGAATTGCTTGAGCTAACAGTTTTTTTGTGTGAGAATTGGCCAGACTACTATGGACATTACCAGTCTGTCTGGCATATAGAGTATGATGATAAAAAAGTGTCACTGTTTGATTCTGTGGAGGCAGTGATACATATGATTACCAAGAATCTCCAAAATGGTGAGGAAGATGAAACATACTGGAACGTCTTGGTTTTGCTGAGAAAACTTCTGCGTCATAATCCTAGATGTAGGAATGATAATGCCACACTGCTTCATTTTGGTACTTATTCAACTGAAGAAATCATTACTGATATTGTTCCAAGTGCTGATACAGTGAAATTGCTTTTGAATGCAGGATTCAATGTAAATGCCATTGACTGTGATGGAGACACCCCACTTCATAGTGCTGCTAGATTAGAACCTGGCGATGACTTGATTCACCAGGTACCTGAAATTATGAAGGCTTTGTTTTATGGAGGTGCTCATCACGATTTTGTCAACAATGATGGTAAAACACCCATGGACGTGGCTGAAACTGATGAAGCTCGCATGATTCTTTCAGAGAGAAGAAAACTGGAGTTAAAGTGTATCAATGCCAGAGCTGTCAAAAAGTTTGGAATTCCTTATTTGGGGGAGGTACCCAAAACACTGGAGAAATACATTAGCATGCATTAAATGGAAGTTTTATAGACAAAGCAGAGCAAAGCTCATCTCATGACATTCTGCACCCTTCTTTAATACAGTCGCTTTAAAGTACTTCATTATTATAAATTCCTCTGGTGTATGCTGATGGCTACAATTTCAGGAAATTTGGCTTCTTTTTCAAGTTTTTTAGAGCTCCCTAGATTTATTTTCTGCTTTTAATTTCTATAACTCTCTCTGTATAATTATTAATGTATTATTGATTTTTGCGTTGAATAGTTAAAGTGGACATTAGCATACCTTATTGTCATATATGCTGGTATGTAGTTTTTAATACGTTCAAACCTCCTGTAATTGACCACTTAAAATGCAAATTTCAATTTTTGATGTTCACTACAAGATTTGAATCACAGGCGTTGTCTTTTGGGAAGAGGGTCAAGACATATCTAGTTGTTGGAAGATAATAAATATCCACCCAATGTTACAGTTTGTTTGTAGCTCCAATTGCATGTTTTAATATTTAAAGTTTCTGGTATAATCTGAGCTGGGTAGTACAAATAGCAAACATAGTGATTAAACCACAGTAATTTCCCTTTCCCTATGTAACTGCTCCCCATAGAGACGGAGAGAAGCCTGGGAATGAGGCTGACTTGGGTTTGTATGGAAAATTGCGCAATCTTTGAATTGACTGGATGACAAGTGCTGTTATTCTCGTACAAATCTTTTTAATTCTCGGCAGATGCTGCAATAATCAAAACTTTTCTGATATATCCCCTCAAAATTCAAAAGTAACATAGTTTTAATATATCTTTTCAGTTCCTAATAAAATCATCCTTCCAAAATGGCTTGTTTTCGCGTTTACGGAAAATTGATTGCGTGACACTGGCCCTAAGACAGGTCACTGCTTTACTGATAGGTAACTCCAACAAATAGTTTCCTCTCGATCAAAAACATCATTTTGGATAGGTACTGGGGCTAGGAGACACTTCGGGTTTTCTTTATTTATATGTACAAAATGTAAGAAAAAATTATGTCAAGTCCATATAGGTCCCTACGCAGGCGTTCTATTGCCTCGTCACACAACAATCCTCCCTTTTATTTGTTGGAAAGGATTGGTGACAAAGCATCCGCATAAGAGGCTATATCCAATACGGTTACAAATAAATTAATCAAGCCACCATCAATGGTAATCAATGCAATTTCAGTAGAATTTATTGTCATAAAGGGGAGATCTCCTTTTAAAAAAAGCTTTGCAAAGTATTCCTGCTACTAGATAACTTTTGTAGCCACTTTCAACAGGAGCCCGTAACCCGAAGCGAACAACTCCCATACTAGGCCTATGTCATGGCGTTTTTACGAACCAGTTCATTTTTAGATACATTTTAGGGCACTTTTTCCCATGAAAATTAAGGATCCCGCTTTCATGTCTATGAGCGCATTAGAAGTATAAGATATAAAAAAAAGAAAACTAAACGATATTAAAAGGCAAAAATATGGTTTTGCTGACTGGATTGTGGAATTTAAAAGATATTCATAACTCGCGCCAAAACCGTTCTAAAAATAAACTGGTTCGTAAAAATCGCCGTGACACGAGCGCATGGAAGTTGTTCCCTCCGGGTTATGGCCTGCTGCTTTCAGTGTAAGAAAGATGGGAATGGTAAAGTGAATGAAAAGAAATGAAAAACAAAAACACCCAGCCATGTTTGTGTAGTTCACAAAGGTCATGGTTTAAAATCGTCATTCCTCCATAATTTTTTCAGATCGTTATTATTTTTAATTGTTTTTTCTCCAAGTTTTGATCATGTAAGGGGCCGTCGACATATTCATCACTCACCCTCCCCCTCCTTAACGTTCACTTGAAATTAACTGTCCCAAAAGTCACTGTTGCTCATTATAAGTTATCGAGGACTTTATAACTTATTCAGTTTTTAAAAGTCGAAGTACTGTCATTTGTTTCCAATTTGTTTTTTAATACATTCAAACCTCCTGTCAGAACAGGTGTCAAAATCGGAATTTTTTCTTTCCCGATCGCACATTGGTCGGGAGCCGGGACTTTCAAGCAAAATAGGGAGAATCCCGACGACATCGGGATGGTTGGACAGTCTGCTTTACCCATACACAAAAATGTCCAGTACAGTGTGTAGAATTAAGAAGAGGATGTCAAGCAAGAATTTCAAAACAAACCAAAACGCGAAACTTTGCTTCTGTGCATGCCTGAACTTCGCACAGTTTTTAGCTGACATTCTGCATCTAACACAGAAGGCCGCGAAGTGCACGACCTGCAAACACCTTTTTGGAAAGTCTTAGCTCGTTAAACCAGGTAACCTAAAAACGGCCTGACTAGCTTCACGGTTTTCGGCAAAATTCTTGCATCACACATGTTTTGAAATGCGAAATTGTTCATAATTATTTGTCAGGTATTTGGAACTAGCTTTTCTTTTGTGGGAAACAACTAGAATCCATGCAATTAATTTAAAACGTTTTTTCAACATTATATATCAATGTGGACAAGGATCAAAGCTTGTTGTCCTGTGTTTGGACGGCCGGTGATGGTGAACCTGTGCAACGACGGAGACTGGAATCTAGCATTCTTATTTTTCAAAATGGCGATTCAAAATGGCTTGGCTTCTTCCGTGTTCAAAGATAAAGATTGCTTCCGTATTGAACCTAGCATGTGTTTAACCCCGGTTAGAAACCAGAGTTCAGTTTTGTCTGTGACGCAGGCTCTGTAGAACCATGAGAGATAAAATATCTTTTAAAAAATGGACCGGACAGCAGGATTTGGATAGAGAAATACCAACGATATCGTGGAGCTAGCTAGGTTTTTTTTAAAAAAAAGAGCCGTAGAGTATTTATTCTCCGGAATGCGCGTTCTGTAACTCCCTTCGTCCACCATGGAAAACAGTACAGAGGTCTTGAAAGCCGTGATGTCTGGAAATGCTGCGCTACTAAATGAAATTCTTCAGAGTTTGAATGGTACAGAAAGAGTTTCTGTTTTAGCTGCCCAAGACTACACTGACAAGGCCTTAGAAGAGAAACACGTTGTTAGAATTCCTTGTAAAACCACACCGTTAATAGTTGCTGTTCAAACTGGAAATCTCGATTGTGTCACAGTACTACTGAATTACAAAGCAGACATTGAAGGGCCGGGAGAGAGCTTTAGATATCTTGTATTTCCCCCTGATGATATATGGAACGTGTCTAAATTTGAGTCCGCTTACACTTGTCCACCTTTGTTTCTCGCTGCCGCTAACGGAAATCTTGATATTTTAAGCTATTTATTTGAACAAGGTGCTAACGTTAATGCATCCTCATCTTCTGAGTATGCAGATCCTTGGTCCCTACCTTCTGAATTTGATGATTATTTACCTGTCTGGCACACTCCGCTTATTGGGACACAATGATGGGACACAATGATGCATTTACCTTTCTTATTGACAAAGGTGCGGATGTAAATTTACAAGACCATCGAGGTTATACAGCTCTACATCATGCTGTTGAAAGCAAGAACTTTGATGCTGTAAGTTGTTTAGTTCATAACGGGGCTGATGTTAATCTCTTTACATCAATGTATAAACATACACCTTTGATGTTGGCCTGTCAATCTCATATTCATGACATGGATGCCATAAATTTTCTACTAAACAAAGGGGCTAATGTGAACCTTCAAGACAGAGACGGGAAATCAGCTTTGCACTTTGCTTCTTCAGACATTTGTTATTGGTTGATTCAAAATCTAGCTGATGTTAACATGTGTGACAATCATAATTGTACCCCACTGATGCTAGCTAGCAGGAACAGTGATTTCAAAAAGGTGGCCATGCTTATTGAGAATGGAGCAAAAGTGGATCTTCAAGATATGGATGGTAATACTGCTCTGCACCATGTTGTGCTTAACTCATATCATTCACATGAGTACACACCTGAAATTTGTTGTGCACTTTTGACTGCTAAGGCATTTATCCATTTGTGTAATAGTCAGGGATGGACACCTCTTCTTCTAGCGAGTGAAAACTGCATTAAATCAGCGGTAGAGATTTTAATAAAGCATCCAGAAGTAACAAAAGAGCAAAGAGCGAATGCTCTAGAACTACTTGGAGCCTCTCTCTGTTTGAAGAGACCCTTTGCTTATATCGAGGAAGGATTCAGCTACATCAAGCTTGGCATGAAAGAAAGGTTTGCTGATGCTTCCCATCCTTTGCTAAAACAGCAAGTGGAACCTGCTGAAGCTTATCAGAACAGAAAAGAGAGTCAAACTCTTGAGGAACTTGCTGAGATAGAAGGTGACGAGGATTCTATAATCATGGAAAGCCTTGTTATTAGAGAGAGAATCTTTGGAGCAAACAACAAAGAACTACTCAAACCGATTGAGCATGTTGCTGAACACTTTTACAGTAAGGACCCTGGTCATTTTAAAAGACTAAGTATACCACTGTACAGATATGCAACAAAAATCGCCCAAGGGTGTATTGAAGAATGTTTTGAATCTGCAGTGTCATGTTTATGGCAGTTAACACATGTATTGTATGAATGCAAACAATATTCTGATAGAGAGCTTTTGCTAGAATTGCTTGAGCTAACAGTTTTTTTGTGTGAGAATTGGCCCAACGACGATGGATGTTACAAGTCTGTCTGGCATATGGCATATATGTGGTATGATGATCAAGAAGTGTCATTGTTTGATTCTGTGGAGGTGGTGATACATATGATTACCAAGAATCTCCAAAATGGTGAAGAAGATGAAACATTCTCGAACGTCTTAGTTTTGCTAAGAAAACTTTTGCGCCATAATCCTAGACGTATGTATAATGGCACACTGCTTCATGCTAGAACTCATTCAACTGAGTATATCATTACTGATATTTTTCCAAGTGCTGATACAGTGAAATTGCTTTTGAAAGCAGGATTCAATGTACATGCCATTGACGAGGATGGAGACACCCCACTTCACAGAGCTGCTGGTTTAGAACCTGGCGATAACTTGATTCATCTTCTTACTGAAATTATGACGGCTTTGCTTGATGGAGGTGCTCATCATGATTTTGTCAACAATGATGGTAAAACACCCATGGACATGGCTAAAACTGATGAAGCTTGCAAGCTTCTTTCTGAAGAGAAGAATAAACTGGAGTTAAAGTGTATCAGTGCCAGAGCTGTTAAAAAGTTTGGAATTCCTTATTTGGGGGAGGTACCCAAAATACTGGAGAAATACATTAGCATGCATTAAAATGTGTAATAGCTACAACATGAACAACAATAGTCTTTATTTCCCTTATTGAGTTTTATAAGCATGTATTGGCCCACCTGAGGTAGCTAGAGCTAACCTTGGCAAGTTAGGCAATTTATATGTAGGAAATATTTAATTTTTATTTATGTACATGTTTATATTTGTTGTAGCTAATTGTTTAATTTTATTTAATTTTTAATTTTCCATTGTTTTTGGGTATGTTTGTGTTGAAACAAAGGAAAAACAAAAATTAACTAATTATTTGCAACATACATGATTTTTAAAATGAAGAAAGATTATACAACAGGGAGGAAAGATAAACTTTTTTTTTTGGAAAAAGCTGGTATCTGTTCATTCTCTCATTACTGAGGATTTTACCTTTGATAAAGTTTTTTAATACAAAAAATTGAGTGGTAAGAGATTAGCATTAATAAACAGCTGAAAGGTATACACGTTGTTTTTTGCAAAGTACATAAAGCATAGTACACTTTTTTGTCATATTAATATTTTGTCTAGACAGGATTTACAAGCCTGGCTCTTAACAGATAGTCCGGAAGTTACATAAGGAACAATTAATGAGTGATACATATCCAGGGGTGTGCGAAAAGGTACATTTAAAGGTACATTTAACTTCGAGTCACTTTACCCTTTAAGTCCCAATAATGAACAACATCAATTTTCTCCTAACGATACCCATACATTGTCATGAGATTATACCTGCCAACTCTCACGCCTTAGGCGTGAGTCTCACGCCTGCGGGTTGAAAACGTCGATCTCACGCCGGCTCACGCTTGTGGGCCAATTTCTCACGCCTGATTGAAAAATGTGAGTTGTTGCAGCCTTGCTTGACACAATTTCCAAAAATATGTTAACTCAGANGTTTTATAAGCATGTATTGGCCCACCTGAGGTAGCTAGAGCTAACCTTGGCAAGTTAGGCAATTTATATGTAGGAAATATTTAATTTTTATTTATGTACATGTTTATATTTGTTGTAGCTAATTGTTTAATTTTATTTAATTTTTAATTTTCCATTGTTTTTGGGTATGTTTGTGTTGAAACAAAGGAAAAACAAAAATTAACTAATTATTTGCAACATACATGATTTTTAAAATGAAGAAAGATTATACAACAGGGAGGAAAGATAAACTTTTTTTTTTGGAAAAAGCTGGTATCTGTTCATTCTCTCATTACTGAGGATTTTACCTTTGATAAAGTTTTTTAATACAAAAAATTGAGTGGTAAGAGATTAGCATTAATAAACAGCTGAAAGGTATACACGTTGTTTTTTGCAAAGTACATAAAGCATAGTACACTTTTTTGTCATATTAATATTTTGTCTAGACAGGATTTACAAGCCTGGCTCTTAACAGATAGTCCGGAAGTTACATAAGGAACAATTAATGAGTGATACATATCCAGGGGTGTGCGAAAAGGTACATTTAAAGGTACATTTAACTTCGAGTCACTTTACCCTTTAAGTCCCAATAATGAACAACATCAATTTTCTCCTAACGATACCCATACATTGTCATGAGATTATACCTGCCAACTCTCACGCCTTAGGCGTGAGTCTCACGCCTGCGGGTTGAAAACGTCGATCTCACGCCGGCTCACGCTTGTGGGCCAATTTCTCACGCCTGATTGAAAAATGTGAGTTGTTGCAGCCTTGCTTGACACAATTTCCAAAAATATGTTAACTCAGACCCCTGTAAGGAACGAAAACCATGTGTAAAATTAATAAATGACAATACCTTCCTCGCGATCTCTGATTTTGTGGATAAGCGTTTTCTCGATAACTTCGCCTTCGGCAGACTTCAGACGTCTTCGGAAGACTACGGACTTCTTCGGGAATCTTCAGAAATGATCGTGTCGTCCCATCACTCCCAGGATAAAAATCTCACACTTATATCTCAGAAAAAGTTGGCAGGTATATGAGATGAGGTTATGAGAATTAAGAAAATGATCACCTAAGAGAAAATTCTTTGATCTTTCATCAAATTCTTTCAACTCATTCTTTAAGGAAATGTATAGAGATCAGTTTGGAGAATTTGTATGTGGATATTGGGGCTTAAAGGGTTAAGTGTCCTAGTTTTACAATTATACCTATGGTTTTATTGATTTTTAAAGTCTGTTACGGTTCTTTCAGAGTTTAAAAACTCTTTTACCCTCTGTGTATAATTTTTGATGCATCATTTAAGTAAATATTATTTGATTTCTCTGTTGGATAGTTACAGGCTAGGGGACATTAGCATACCTAACTGTTATATATGCCAGTATGTAGTTTTTAATACATTCAAACCTCCTGTGAGCGACCATTTAAAATGCAAAGATTTACGGCTTGCAACAAGATTTGAACCACAGGCATTGACTTGTGAGAAGAGGTCCAGACATATGTAGCTGTTGGAAGATAATAAATATCCACCCAATGTTACAGTTTGTGTGTAGCTCCAAATTGCATGTTTTAATTTAAAGTTTCCGGTATTATCTGAGTTGGGCAGAACATACAGCATTTGAACAAAGTGATTAAAATAAAGGGGCTGCAGCACAGTGTGTCATGGCAGTCTAGTTCATTTTGTTTAACCCATTCGCTCCTGGAGATTTTGCCGAAAAACACATTTTGAAGCTAGTCGAGTGGTTTTCTGGTCACTGTCGTGCTATAAAGAGCTAATATATAGATTTAGCCAGGGCTAAAAGCGAAGCTCTTGTTAATAAAACTTGTAAACAAAAAAAATTAAATCGTCTAATGCAAAACGTGGAGGCCAATGGAAACGGCATCAATAGATATAATTAGCAAAAAAACAAATTGCACGTGCAGCACACTTTTTTTTCTAATTAGCAGAACAACAAAATTTGCACGTGCAGCACGCTTTTCGTCCTTCTTTGCCGTTGTTTTGCGCAACTACAACGCTGTTTTGTAGGACTAAACGTCAAACTTCCTAGTTGCACATTATTTTTATGGAGGAATTCTTACCCAATATTTTGTCTCCTGTGTTGATGTTCGCTTTTATTTTTCAGTGCCGCTCAGTTTCACCTTGCTGGCCACTAGCATTTCTCATTGTCTCACAGCCGCTTTGAATTTTCATGTTTTTCTTCCTACAAAATTCTTCTCTTTTGTTCTCAGAAACTAGCTCTAGCTCAGTTTCTCTGTTATCCACGTGA